CTGTTGATGGCCTCCTCGGAGCTGCTGCCGCCCGCCCCGTTGGCCACTGCCTGCGACGCCGATGGCGTTTTGGGCTCCCCTGCAAACAAAAAAAAAACCAAGGAGTGTGAGGAGCCCCCAGGAGCAGCACATGCCGTTTTGCCATGCGGCCATAACTCAAAATGCAGGAGAAAAGGGATTTTATCCCAATCTGGCTTCAAGTGGTCTCCACTGAGCAGGAGCGGATCAAAAGGACCAGCAGCAGCACCCACAAAGCAAAAGCTGTGACACCCTCAGCTCCAAGTGAGCTGCTTTTGTGATGATGGCAAAATAAATCCCATTACCAACAACGGCAATAGACAAACATGTTTGTTTTTCCTGTCTGTTTTTCCACCGTTCCTGTCTAATTTAATTCTCCAGGATTCTGCTTTCTCAGCAGACTACCTGGTTTAATGTATTTCATTTCTTGTAATTGACTGTGAGCGCAGCTGCTTTAATGATTCCTTGTGCCAGATGGGTTGTGCATCCTCATTTAATCATCTGGTTTGGGGCAGGGGGGAGGAAAGAGCAAATCCAAAATTTCCAAAAGCCCAGGTACAAATACTGCTGCATGAAGAGTCTCCCATCAGTATTTAGCAGCATTTCCTCCCACCATGTCCCAGATCCCTATGGGTGTCAGCAGGAGAAATGCCAAATAAAGTCCTTGCTGGCTCAGCTGCAGGGATAACCTGGTGCTGGGCACCCAGTGCCACCCTGCCCAGGACCATGCAGGGCTGGCAGAGGCTGGTTAACATTACCTAGGGGAGGCAGAGACCCTCATGCAAGACACCAGCGATTTGGTGGATGTTTCAGTGTGCTATGGGACCCACAGCCACGCAGCACTCAGCCACCCCTCTGGGTACTGCTCCCCTGGGGCCAGCCCCACAGCAGCACCCACCTCCCTTCTGCGACTCAATCTCCTTCTTTGCCTGCTCCAAGATGCTTTTGATGGCGTCATCAGAGCCGGTCTCTGGCGTCCTGATCCGTGGTGTGATGCTACCTGATCAAAGGGGCAGGATAACAGCTTTGTCACCAGTGTTGGTTTTACAAGCTCCACTTGTATGTCAGGAAGTATTTACTGCTCCTGGTGTTCAGTTATTTTTAGAGATGCTGGTTTTAAGACAAATGTCACTCCTGATTAGTTGGGGGACTCCTGGTAGCCTCCGCTGCCAGCTCTTACCTCCAGCATGGCATCTCCTGGCCACCCTGCTAATCTCATCCAAGGGCACCTGCTTCCCACCAGTGTACCAGGTGCTGAGCAGAGACATGGTCATGGGGACCACAGCCTCAATCCCTGGCACCTTGCCCTCCTGAAGGGTTAACACTGGGTTGGCTCCAGGGGACAAATCAAAGCCCTCTGGGTTGAAACACCAGCAGATGCATGGACCAGCATTGCCCTCTCCCCCTCTGCCACCATGGGGACCCAGGTGACCAGCTGCCACCACCAAAACGGGACCAGGAGCCACCACTCCTGTTACCATTTCATGGTGGCACCGACACCACACCAAGGTCCTGCAGCATTAAGACTTAATTATTTTAACAAAATATTTCCCAGCACATTGATTCATACACCACGAAACAGCCTGATGAATAATTAAATGGCACTTGTCAGAATAAATGAGTAAAGCACATCCGGGGATGCAGCCTCCATGACGGGTTGTTAATTGATGCCATTTCCTTGCCCCCTGGGGTATTTCATAGCATCACAGAATCCCAGACTGGTTTGGATTGGAAGGGACCTTAAAGAGCACCCAGGTCCAACCCGCCTGCCGTGGGCCCTCCCACTAGACCAGGTTGCTCCAAGCCCCATCCAACCTGCCCTTCAACACTGCCAGGGACAGGGCAGCCACAGCTTCTCCGGGCCACCTGTTCCAGTGTCTCACCACCCTCATAGTGAAGAATTTCTTCCTAATGCCTAATCGGTATCTCCCCTCTTCCAGTTTAAAGCCATTCCCCTTCATCCTCTTACTCCCTGCCCTTGTCCCAAGTCCCTCCCAGCTTTCCTGGAGCCCCTTCAGGCACTGGAAGGTGCTCTAAGGTGTCCCTGGAGCCTTCTCTTCTCCAGGCTGAATACCCCCAACTCTCCCAGCCTATCTCCAGAGCAGAGCAGCTCCAGCCCTCTGATCATCTTTGTGGTCTCCTCTGGCCTCAATCCAACAGCTCCATGTCCTTCTTGTGTTGGGAACCCCCAGAACTGGACATGCTACTCCAGGTGGGGTCTCAGCAGAGCAGAGTAGAGGGGGACAATCCCCTCCCTTGACCTGCTGGTCATGCTGCTTATGATGCAGCCCAGGACACTCTCTGGGCTGCACCCTGAGCAGGGGCACCACGAGGCACAATCCCCATGTGCCACCAGTGACTCTGCATGGCCTCACTGCCCACCTTGCCAGCACACGACGGGCATCCCTGCCACAGCATGGGGCAGCACCCACCGGCCAGGGCCACCCCAACCACTCACCTCTCTGGCGCACCTGGATAGTCCTCAGGGCCAGCACGTTCTGCTCATCGGAGAGGAACTGCTTCATCTTGATGAACGGCTCCTTGCCCTTCACCGTCAGCTTGCGCCAGGGCTTGGGCCGGGCCAGGATCTCACTGACAGAGCCCTGTGACAGCCCCAGCACGTAGTGCCCGAAGACCCGCTGCCCGATGTTGTGCTTCAGCAGCTGCTCCTTCACCTGGAAGGCGATCTCGGCTGTGTCCAGCTGCTCCTCCTCTGCAGAGCTGCCCGTGCTGCCCTCGGACGGCTCGCTGGGCGGGCTGGGGGCCGGCACAGTGCTGGGGGGCCCAGTGCTGGGGGGCCCAGTGCTGCTTTTAGCCCCCAAGAAAGTGGAGGGGAAAGGTGGGACCCCCCCAACATTCTCGCTCTTGCAGGCAGGTGGCTGGAGGTTAGGGGTCTTGGGGTCCCCCAAAAGCCGTTCGCCCCCTGGGAAGGGGGACAGAGAGAAAGTTCGGGGGCAGTCAGGGGCCAGGCCGGGCGGAGGAGGGAGGGGAGCAGGGGAGGAGGGTTCGTCCGACGGGGCGTGCTGAGGGGACGGGTATGGCTGCTCCAGGCCCAGAGAATCCTTCCCTGCCTCGTCTTCGGAGTGATCTTCCTCTAGAGACAAACGAGAGAGAGGGAGACACACTAGACTCCCCCCAGCCAGTGGCGCCAGTCACAGAATCCCAGACTGGAACTTAAAGATCATCCAGTCCATTTGGATGGGCAGGGACACCTCCCAATAGACCAGCTTGCTCCAAGCCCCATCCAACCTGGCCTTGAACACATCACTTGCCCCCAGGGATGGGGCAACCGCAGCTTCTCTGGGCAACCTCTTCCAGTGTCTCACCACTCTCATAGTGAAGAATTTATTCCTAATGTCTAACCTCAATCTCCTCTCTCCCAGTTTAAAGCCATTCCCCCTCATCCCATCACTCCGTGCCCCTGTAAAAAGTGGAGCCTTCCCTTCTCCAGGCTGAACACCCCCAACTCTCTCAGCTTGTCTCCAGAGCAGAGTTGCTCCAGTTTTCTGACCATCTCCATGGCTTCCTCTGGCCTCAATCCAACAGCTCCATGCCTTTCAGCGAAGCATCTCCTGCCTCAGTTTTCCCAGGTGCCATCCCACCCCTTTACCATCCTCCCTGCTCCATGGATGGCTCTGGGCTCCTTCCCACAGCTGGAACACAACCCAGCCCTTCCACCCCCATTCCCAGGGCTGCTCCTGGTGGGATCAGGGATGCCACAGAACCAGGGAACCCTACCAGTGCTGGACAGCATGTTGGGTTTCTCCAGCAGGTACTTCTGCGAGGGATAGAAAGCCTCCTTCCCCAGCAGCAGGGCCTCCTCTGCCTTCGATATGCTCTGCAAGGAGCCAAGCCGAGATGGGAAAAGGCGGCGGAGGCGCCGGCAGCCGGGCCGGCAGGCACAGCCCAGCCCAGCCAGCGCGTCGGTGGGAGCCGCGGCACTTGCCTGGGGAAGGCTGCAGCCAGCAGCAGCCACCTTCATCGCCTTCAGGATGCTGGGGGGGAGACAAGGGAGGTGACCTGGTGGGCACAGCTTCCCGCTGCCATCGAGCCACCGTGTGTGACGGCTGCTGCAGTGAGCCCCGCGTGCTGGCAGCAACTGGCCGCCCGGGGACAGCGGGTGCAGATGCTGTTTCAGCTCATACCTCAGCTCTGTTTTAATTTCCTCATAGTCTGCCTGTGCCTGCAGCTTCTCCTCCAGCTTCTGTGGAGCAGAGGAGGGGAATCCTCGCAGCCAGCTCCCAGAACAGCCCTGGCACAGCCGGGCCCACGTCCCCTGCACCCCAGCAAGCCCCAAGCCCCTCCGGGCGCACCTCGATGGCTTCGTTCTTGGCAGCCAGCTGCCCCTCCAGCTCAGCGATCTGGTTGGCAGAGGACTCCTCCAGCTCCTGCAGCGAGCTCTGAAGGTGCTGCACATCTTTCAGCAGCCGCAGGATCTCCTGGTCCTTGGCAGCCAGAGCTGCCTCCAGCCTCGACCCTGAGCACATGGAATAGTTCACTTTGTCCTGCCGGGAGAGGGGACACCATCAGCTCCCAGGCACCTGATGCAGGGACATGGGCCACCCTCCCCAACAGAAGCAATCCCATGAGGAGCCCTGTGGGATGGAGACCTGGAGTGACACAGCCACGTGCAAGGACAGACCTTTTCTCTGCCCTTACTGATCTCCCGGTCATATCTGCTTGGTGCTAAGGGGGTGCATATCCTCCTCCCTGCAAGAGCCTGGGGCTGCAGGCAGGGCATGGCCAACACTATCACCTCCATGGAGGAAAAATACCCCAGTCATGGGCATTTTTGGCTTGTTCCCAAACACGGTGGGCTCTCCCGAATGCAAAATGGTGCTTCTGAATGCAATGGGTTGCTCCTAAGCACAGTGGGATACTCCTGAACATGCTAGGGTGCTCCTGGCTGCTATGGGATGCTCCCAAGGGCAATGGGGTGCTCCTGCCTGTGACAGATGCTCCCGGTGGCTCTGAGGGGTGCTGGTGGCCCCCAGGGGTGCCCTCACCCCGGCAGCGCCCGGCGGGGAGCAGCAGGCCAGGCGGAGGGAGCTGTTCACGGCCGCCAGCTGCTCCCGCAAACTCTCCACTTCCCTCTGCGCCGCCTCCGCTCGCTGCAAGAGAGCAGAAAGCCCCTCAGGTCGGGCACCCGGGGCTTGTCCCACCCCACACAGGGCAAAGCGAGGCCCCAGGACCCCCACCGACCCACCCTGCTCCCACCACCATCACCATAAACCCTTCCATGGATTTTGGCTCCTTACATGGTTCCCAGGCTCAAACCCTGGGCACTGGTTGCAGCCCACCTCCAGGACACTGCTTTTTTTCCACCCAAAAGGCCTTATTTACATGCAAATTGCTCTTTAAGCCTATTTTTTTATTCATGCACATTTATTTGTACCTACATTTCAGTAGTCAATGTAACTAATGAGTAGGAATTAGAACCAGACCTAATATGCCAGAAACCAACACCAGGCTGGTGTGGACTGTGCCCTAAAATGCTCAGAAGGCTGGAGGTGACAAACACTGGCTCCAGCAGCCAAAATGGAGCCTTGCAGAAGCCCACACACACCAGTGAGCCCCCCAAAATGGGGCAGGGGGGGTCCCAGCAGCCTGGTTCAAAGGACACCAGGCAAATAAAACCAGACCCCCCCTTTGTAGGGCTCCCCAGTCCTCGAGCCTGGTCACGATTTTTGGGGATAAATGTTCAGCTCATGGGGATGCTCAGGGCAGAAAGGAAGCAGGGGTACATGCCCTGTGCTGGCTGGAAAGTCACCTCCTGGCTCACCTGGTTGGCTTTTTCGAGGTTTGTCATGATCATGGCTACTTCATCTGCCCTGTGATGAGAAAGCAGGAGGTGTCAGCGGGTGTGGAGGCACAGACACAGCTCTCCAGCACCAGCCAGGGCTCTTGCTCTAGGCTTGCTCTAGGGACCCCTGTGACTTGGGGTGCTGCTGAGGTCACTTGAAGTGTCTCAGTTCCTCAAGCCACTTGGCAGCTCAGCTTGGCCTCGGGCACACAAAAACATCCAGGCACCACTGAGGACTTACTTGGAAGCAGCTTCTTCATCGTATTTACACCGCAGCTCCAGCAACTCTGTCTGGGTGGCCTTCAGTGCTGGGAAGAGGAAGAGGAGGGTGAGTCCTGGGGTGAGGGCTTGATCCCCCCACCATGGCTAATATCTCCTGCCCTAGCCCCCTTACCTGCATGGAGCACTTTGATCTTCTCCTCTGCCTCTCCCAGCCGCGTGGCCAAAGTGACCTGTGCTTCCTGCAGCCCCCTGCCAGAGACAGGCATCACCCATGGGTGCTGGCAGCCCCACGACTGTGCCCACCCCCAGCTCCCCCGGGGACCCCCTCGCTGCATCCCCACTCTCAAGACGCTGGGAGAAGACCCACTGGAAAGCCTTCAAGTCATGTTACCTTGTGATGTTAAAGGACCTACTGCCCTGCTTGTAAAAAAATTCATTTTGAGCTGGAAATGGTTCCAGTCCCTGGGGCTGAAACCCCTCTGGGGAGGTGGCAGCCCACCCCTGCCTGTTATTAATTAGAGGGAGGGGAAGCAATCAGGGAAAAGTTGCTCTGCATTATTTATAGCCTGCACTTGCCAGGAACTTACTCCCAGAGATCTGCAATTTAGGGTTTAAAGATTCCTCATTTGTTTCCCAGTGCAGCATGTTAAGGAATAACAATGAAGGCACCAAGAAAGCCGGGATCTTCCAAATTAAAAGGCCATTTAATGAGGTTCATCTGCCGACCTGGATTTAACCCATTTGTCCCAGCAAAGCCACATTCCAGGGAGATGGCATAAGGGGCCAACAGGAGGGCTCTGCCCTTGCTCTGCCCAAAAACTGCCTGGGATTGGGGATGGATGGACAGACGGACGCTTGCAGTGCCCAAGACCACATATCAGGCTTCTGGGCAGGATGTGTCCACTCTCAACCCAGACAGTAAAGGAGGTGCAAAGGGAAGGAGGAGAGGGAAGAACAGACAGTCAGGAGTGGGGACAGAGCGATGTGTCCCCCAGGTACCCTGAAATGACCCCGGCCGCGGGGTGTGAGGCCCCAAGCCCCTGTACTCACGTACTTTTGCTTTTCTGCCTCATTTCTCTGCAGCGAGGTGTCAGTGCTCGGTGCTTTGCCCTCGACGCTGGGGAGCGGGGCCTTGGCCGCTGCCACGAGCCCGGCCGCGGGTGATGTCCCCTCTCTGCGCCCTGCGGGGGGACACGTTGCACACAGTGGCACTGGGGACAGCAGCGGCGGCCCCCCAGGGCCCCCGGCAAGGGGCCTGAGGGTACCTTTGATGATGACAATCTCTGAGTGCTTCTTCCAGGGGCCACCGAGGTCCTTCAGGGGGGTGGGTTCAGGCTCAAGGCGCTGGAGCTGCTGCAGCCGGTCCTCCAGGCTCCGGGCAGCCTCCAGCACAGGAGCAGGGTCTGTGGGACAGAAGGGTGGCAACGAGGGGCAGGGACACCTGCCACAGCCCCTCCTACCTCCCCGAGGATCTTTTGTCACTATCCTCACTACCTACCCCAAGGCAGCCACCCTCAGCACCCCAAGTAAAACCAGAGCAGGAAGGGGTGCCAGGTGCCATGGGGACACACCTTGGTCCCATGTTTTCTATCGCCATCCACAAAGCTGTTGGTGTGCTGGGGAGATGGGGATGTCTGCTCCCTGCCCAGACCCTGCAGGGTGTCCTGTCACCTCCCCAGCGAGCCGGTGACACCCACAGCTCTGGTGGCCCCGTTTGGGCGCAGACAATGGCCCTGGGTTTGTGCCGAGGTAAGCAGGTGCGCGCAGAGCCGTCCGTCTTCCCTCTGTCAGCATTACACCATCATTAGCTGGTGTCTGCTCAGCAGGGTGTGCCATTATGTCTCCCAGGGCTGATGTAATTATACATTGACATAATTAACCCAGCAAGCCCATTAAGCAGGCCAGCTAAAAATTCATCTATAATTATTTGTTGTGTGCATGCTAATGAGTCCATCTGCACTGCCATTGTACAACATGAACAAATTAATTTACAAGTCTGGATTTTTTAATAAGTTCAAGAAAATGCCTCCTATTGAGCCAGGTTAATATAGGTTTGAGGATTCGGTTTGTGTTTTGTTGTTTTTTTTTGTTTAGGAAAAAAAAAAGAGGAAAGAAAATAGATTTGAATTCTCCAGGGTCATGAAGTTAGACAAACAGGGAAGTGGGACAGAGCTGGGTGTGCTGCTGTACAGCAGGGACACGTGGCAGGCATCCAAGGGTGAAAAATAAGAATGGTGATGGAAAAAAAAAATCAAAACAACTGGCTGTCCCTGCTCTGAACAGGATGCAGAGCAGATCTTCTGCTGAGACAGCAGTGGTGCAGGATGAAGGGTGTCCAGCACCACCAGGGCTGTGCCACGGGATTCAGGGTGGTCTGGGACTGCACCAGCACAACTGCAGCACTGGGTGTGTTTGGGGTGAAAATGCCCCAAAAATGCAAGATTTGGCCCATGAGCCTTGCTGTGAATACCCAGCATGGATGCTCCTGGCAAAGGAGCAAAGCCAGGACCTTGTCCCCCAAGATGGAATCTGGGGGTCCCCCTGACCAGCTGTTGCCCTCCCATCCCACAGCATCACTGGCATGGAGTGAACGACTGCTGGGCCCCACGTGCTAATACCAAAGAGACCCCAGCACATCCTTTTCCACAGGGAACATCCTCTCTTCCCTCTACAGGACACCACAGAGACCCTGACCAGAGCTTGGCCACAGGTTCCAGCCAGAGGAGGGTGCTGAGTGCTGCTGTCACAGTGCTGCCTGTGGCACTGAACAGGTGACTTGGCTCTGGCTGGGACCTCCCAGTGCTCATGGCATCCTGTGGCTCCCAGCACCCTTCAGGCCACTTCCCCACCCACGGGTGCTGGAGCGTGCCACGGCAGGGTGTCACAGTGCTGTGGCATGGTCCCAAACCAGACTGGATGCTCTCACAGCCATTAATAACACCCGTAAGTACGCGAGCTGAGATAACGACACGGCTAATTAAACCCCGCGCTCCAGGGCCCCAGCTCAGGGGCTGTGGGGGCTGGGTGTCCCCCCACCCTTCCCCAGCCCGGGGGGTGTTGGCAGGAGGCTCAGTGCCAGCCACCTCTGCAGGGATAAGCGCCAGGACAGGCTCTGTTCGATCTGCTCTGGTAACTCTTCTCACCTCTGCCCCGAGAAATAAAACGTCAGGAACCAGCCTGAGCAATGAAGCTCCAGGGATTTTCGAGGGGTTGGTGTTTTCCCTCCTGTCAGCCCCAGCCCTGCTGCTGAGATAGAACTGGGGTGATTCCCCCACCCGCTGCTCCCCGTTCAGAGCCAACATCCCAGGGTGCAGTGAACAGGAACAGGGTTTATGGAAGGGAAAAGAGCCAGTGGTGATCCAGCTCTGCCACCCATGTCAGTAGGGGCAGCTCTGATGCCAAATGCCCGGGCTGGATTAATTCTATCATGCCAATACCATGCTGGGAATGTGCCATCCTTGGCTGTGGGGTCGGCTCTGCCACCAGGCACCATGTGTTTAGATGCATTGAGGGGCTGGGCACCAAGCTCATGCCAACCTCACACCAAGTTCATGCCAACTTCACACGGACCTCAGAAACCACATGGAGCCATGCAGGAGGGCTCAGGACACTGACCATGGCACAGGGGACAGTGTTGGAGAGAGGTGAGAGGAGATGGCACTGATGCCACGGTGGTGACACCAGAGGCACGTGCCAAAATGGGACCCTGGGGCACGACCTGCCTGCCAGCTCATGGTGACACGTGCCAGCAAGTCCTTGCCACAAATAGGCCCAGGTGTGCTTATCTATTGCCTCATATGCTCCCCCACTTATCTTATATGTATTTTTCATATGTACTTGTATTTCATATATATTAAAAATAGAATATAACATAGAATCATATAATGGTTTGGACTGGAGGGAATATGTAAGATGTATACTAAAACATAAAATATAATATATAAATATATAAATATAATAAGTCCTGCCACTAGCTGGCGTTATTGGCTGTCCTTTAGTGGCACCAGCAGTGCCACCAGCAGGGATGGGGACGGTAGGCAGGGGTCACTTCTGGTGTCCCCATCATGGTGAGAGCAGGACCAGGGGTCTTCTCCCTTGCTGGAGAGGGTCTGTGCCATCAGCAGACTCTCTTCCAGACACCCCACCACAGCACTGTGTGGCTACCAGAGCAGCTCCAGACACCTGTGGTGGTTTGGGGAGGTCCTGGGTGCTCAGCACCTTCTCCTGAGCAGGCAGAGCTCCAGGGAGCACCTGTGTCCCTGGGGACTCACAGCTCATCCCTGACCCAGCCTTTGGCAGAGGTCTCCATGCTGGGGGCTGAAGGGTGACAACTGCTCCATGCTGCTGCCCAGCTCCAAGGGGAGCATGGGGCACCCACAGTGCATCTGTGGTGCATCCATGTGCATCCACAGAGCATCCGTGTACCTTCACAGTGCATTCACAGTGCATCCATGTGCACCCCTGTACCTTCACAGCACACCCACGGTGCCAACCCCTTTCCCCCTGGGGTGTCACCTCCTCCACCCCCATCCCAACCTGCACAAACACATCTACTGGCACCCTACGAATCCCTCCACCAGTTGGAGTCAGCCTTAAATCAAATCATCCCCAACAACAATGACATTAATTATGCTTTTAACACATTTTACTGCTTCCCCCCTTCCCTTCACACCACATCTGTGTGAACAATATCCCAAAGATTTACGGTTTTCTCCCGTAATTACAGACACACACCAGCTCACTTATCAAAATACTTGCTGAGCAATCAGGCTCTGTTACAGGCTCTGCCAGAGATTTGTGTTGACAGCAGCCATTCAAAGCCAAAAAACGTCGAATCAGGACTTACAAAGTGCCACACAAAGAGTTCACCCAACAAGAGACACACGGACATGTAACTGGCAGGGACAAACTGACAGCAGGGGGAGGATTTGGGGAGCAGGAGGGGAGAAAGGAGCAAGGGAAGGATGCTGTGGGACAGCAGAGGGGGGGAAAGAGGAAGGGTGTGTGTGTGGAGATCACAGTTTGGGGTGTGCACGTGTGTGCAAGGAGGAGGAACACGGCGGGTGCACGCAGGGAGGGAAGATAACTGGGTTCTGGAAACTGAGCTGACATTTGGTTCTTGTAGCACAGGAGAAAATTTAATGAGGACAAAAATATGTCTCCCTAATTCCCCTAAGAAATCATTAAAACATTTTGTTATTCCTAAATGTCTGGAAAATGAATTAGTGGCCCTGCAGGAGCCTTTCTGTGCATCTTCAGCCGTTCGCAGCTCCCTGTCCTCACCGCGCCAGGGGAGCCCTCGGCCCAGAGCACGGCAGAGCCTGGGGCAGGGAGCAGTGGGGAGGGGGGTCCCGGCCTCTCACCCTGCCCTAGCACCCAGTCTGCCAACACAAGCCTGGAAGCTACCCCGTGCCTCAGTTTCCCCCTCCCAAGAGGTCGAGCGATGCCGGGGCCGCCCCTGGGGGGGAGCGGGGAACTTACCGTCGAAGAGACACGCGGGGACGGGCGCGGTGCTATGACAGGGGCTGAGCAAATGTATTCCTTTCCTAACGTCAAGATGCATTTGGCTCAGGGGCTGAAACCCAGCGACGGCAAAAGCTGTTCCTGCTCCTCTCTCCAGCGGGTATTTCCAGAGCAGCGGGGGATGCCCGGCGTGCCGGGATGGGCTGGCTCCTCTCGGCACCGCCAAGCCGCTCGTTAGGCAGCCAGGGCGCTGCCGCGTTGCTTACCTGGAGCTTCGC